AATATATTTTGAAGTCACGTAGTGTTTTGCAGTCAGCTTTGCTGTTTTTGTTTAACATGGCTTTGACTATTTGGGGGTCTTCTGTGATTCTGTATAAATTTTAAGATTTTAATTTTTGTTTCTGAATTTTATCACTTCTCTCCATTTTCACTTCTCTGTGAAGCTTCTATATATGTAAATAATGATATAAATAAAATTTACATGGCTTCTCTCCTATCAATCTATCTTTTGTCAGTTAACTTTGTAGAATGCCATCATGCAGTCTAAGAGAACAGTGGAAAAGATTTTCTTTTTCAATAGCCAAAAATGTATTTTTTTTTCTTTAGTATTTTGGGATGCTAAACATCATTATCTGGGCTCACCAGAGGTTTCTTGAGGGCAGGAAGCTTGGGCCTTTAATTCACCATTCATCGTTTGTATTTAATGGTGTTCAGAAAGGTGACCAACAGTCATCTCCTGGCTCCAGAGTACTGGATCTAGGATGAGCCCTGCCAAACCAGCCTAAGCTTGTCCTTTGATGTCTTTCTGGAGGGAGAGTGAGGTACAAGGGTGTGTGGAAGTAGTTAGTCTTTCTTTGCTGGGACTTAATTGCTTCACAGAGCTCCCAGTACCCTCAGGCCAAACACCTACATTCATCAGCATCTAATTGCATTAATAGCAGCTTCTGCCCTGGCACCTTAGCATCCCCTCGTGCCTCTTCTCACCTGGAGTGCTTCACGGACTGGGACTCTCTTGTCAGGCTCAGGCACTAGAAGCTGATACTTCTGTTCCAGTAGTGATTTCCAACCCTAGTTTTATCTGGGGGTTTTATTATTTTTTCATTAAATAAAACTGTAATGGAGCTCAGATAGACTTCTTAAAAAGAGGCTGTCAAATATTTTATTTTCTGTCAAATTTCTTTTACAAAGATGATGTCAAATACTATCGAAGTTGAAAAGCTGTTGTGTTTGGAAACTGATTGTTTCACAACTTGGTTGATCATGAAAACCACAAGATGCACATTTTAGAAATACAGATCCACAGGGCCTTCCCCTAGCTATGTCTATTCCATTAAGATGCAGTTTGGCTTTTGCAAGATTCAAAGTCATTTTTTTTGCTTAAGTCGCTGGAGGAATGCTTCTCACTGATAGGGAGTGGGTCCTAGAGTCTCACAGAACATTGCCTATTTATTTATCTGCTGGCTTTTAATACTGTTGGAACTTTATACTTGACATTTGAGTGTCATTCAAGAAGTATGCATTAAATGAACAGGTGACTGAGTACTTCAAAATGAAGACTATGATAGAGTTTTCTGAGTCACTGGAGGTGAGCTTCTAATAATAGATGTGGTCCTAACCGTAATGAGAACAGATGTGCTCGATATCTGTTGTCCATCCACTATGTTGTAGTCACCTTGGAAGGTGTTTTGCATGTGTTACCTTGTTTAATAAAAGCTCTGACAACAAATATTTTCATTCCAAAGTACAGATAAGATAAACTGAGATTCTTAAAGGTATCAGACTCATACCATTGGATCTTGGTCTTAAAAGCTAAAGGGTGAGGAAAGGTCTATTTCTAGGGAGATGGTGGAGTGGAGAAAGAATCAGGTAACTCTGGTTTTAGTTTGATTGTTCTCCCAAGCAACCAACCAGTAGAGCCTGGAATAATTCTTTTCTCCTGACTTGTCTCTTCCCTCCCTCTAGGGTGAAATGTTGGGTGTTGAGTAGAGCTCTGTGGTGCCACAGCTCATGCCCTCTCTTTTCTGCACCCATATTTGGAAACTTAGTTTCTCCTCCCTGTTGTGGCAAAGTGTTCTACAGCATCTTAATGCCCAGGATCTGGTATTTCTTCCTTCTTTTCTTGCTAGGGCACTATGTGTGTTAGGGAGACTTTTTAAAAATTGATGACTTGAATTGAACAAGCAACACTCTGCTCTCCCTGACTCCTCTACATAATCAGAGGACAGGGTAATGTAAAACTGTCTTAAGGTGACATGCTTCTAAATGTCACTCTGCTTTAAATATGTACTCCTATAGGTACATGGAGGGAACTCCAGTTCTTCAGACCTACGAAAGTCTGAGCCTTGAGGAAGTGTGGAGGAAGGAGTAACAGATAATGCAAAAAGCCAGACCACAGGGTATGGAATAGGTTTAGAGCCATTATTTTTTCCTGCTTTGCCAGCAAAGGTGACTGCAGGTATTTCTCAGCCTGAGCAGAGGGTCCAGGCAATGGGATAAAATGAGCACTTTTCAGTGTAGGAAAAACAGTAGCATTCTGAGTTCCGAACAGGGCTCCCGTCAAGGCTGAGAATCCTGGAAGATGTACTTCCTGTCTGAAGTTAACTTGGTCCCCTTTCAATATGGAAGGCTTGATTTAGCAGCTAAACTAACCAGCTGGGGAGGAGAAAGAGCCTTAATAGAAACCATCCAGAGACAGTTTTCGATAAACAGGAAAAACTATGTTCTTCCAAGGGAAGAGTGTCAGAGCCTGCAAGCCAGGGCAGTGTTGGGTGGAGTGAAGAAAGCCCAGGTTGGCACCTGCAGAAGAGCCTGCCCATGTGCAGATAGCTGTGAGGTTGCTGCAGACTCAGGATAGGACGTGGGAGTGCAGCTTCAGAGAGGCTAAGTGAAGAGAGAGACCTGAGCCTGCCTAGAGGAGGCTACTCCTGAAGACCAGCAACAACCTGGGGGCTCAGGTGTGGTGGTGGTGGTGGTGGTGGTGGTGGTGACACCAGCCCAGAGCAAGATGTGTCATTATCCTGACCCATAATGAAACAGAGGAACAAGGAAAATGTGTCTGTGACCTTTTCTAGGCCTTCAAACTCCTTCTCAGCTCATACCGAAGCCCCATCACAAGGGAAGGGAATGTTACCCTCACAAGAAAGCAGTTGTCAAAGCAGTAGCCCAGCCTCTCTTCACACTTAAGGATGTTTAGCCAGTCAGGCAGTGGACTGTCACCTACTATTGAGCAGCTATTACACAGCAGACCCTGCGTGAGGGTGAATATGATCCGTTGGAGATTGGGATGCAGTGGGAAGCTGCCTGGACCCAAATTCACAAGACCTGATCCAGGTATGAAGTCAGGGGTTTCATGAACACCTAGTTCTACATTTGGAGAAGGGAGTGAGGGGTTGGGATGAAAGAGAGAAGCCATCCACACACCTGAGTTTTAAGGTAATTGGGCCACACCTAGTAACAGATTGTGCTTGGAATGCACCTCTGATTCAGTGACCTCAGTTCGTGTTATATTGTTTAGAGGAAACTATTGGTCTTAGGACTCAGGAACCCCGGATCTTACGACCTTAGAAAGAAAAGTCCCATGGCAGGTATAATCTGCAGAGGCTGACCACCATGGAGGGAGGGCGGATATTGGGTAATACCCAGGGACATCATCAATTATCTCAGTAGTTAGAGTACCTGGTCCTTGTCACAATGTTACACAGAGACCTCTTCTGAGTGAAACCAACTGAATTCACAGCAGACATTTTATCACATTGGCCTTTTCCTTTCTCCTTGAGACCCTGGCCCATTGAGTTGATGTTGAACTAAATGTGTCCCTTGTTTCCACCAATGATGATTCACCTCCTTCTTATTTTTAGCAGAACTAGAAATACTTCAGATTCATCTTTGCTGCAGTTAAAGGCCCAAGCAGACAGGGCTCTTTCTGTCTTCCCACTTACCAAAACTTCCCCAGAACTGTGAGTGGATACAGAGCCATAGCAGGAGGTCATCTTTCATCATTTATCAGCCTGGATCATTTTCACTTCCTGTGTCATGTTCTTTTCCTTTTGAGGTTTGCTTTTTGAACTTGGGTGGGTTGTATCACCGTTCCTGGCTTGAAATCTCCAATTATCCTTGAGATGTGAGGACTTCAGGTTCTCAGAGAACCAGTAGCCCTTTTCCTTACCCTCTTATTTAAGGGAGATCATGTGATAGAGGGAGTGAGGGGTGTCCTCAGCACACTGCCCAGATGACTAACATGACCAGCACATATTATATAGACACTTCTCTAGAATTTGTTGAAGAAAGAAGAAAGAAATGATACCGTGAACACTGCTGGCTTGAGCATGCACAGCTGTGATCCTGAAAAGATCACAAAATTAGAACAGGGAGGAAAACATTGTGGTCAGCAGGGTTTCCAGGTACTGGGACTAGAGGTGTAAGTGGGCAGAGGTAGTGGAGGGACTCCACAGCTGGGTTTGGAGTGGAGGTAGTTAGAAAAGTCTTTCAGGTTCTCAGGTGGAGGCAGGATACAGTTTGGTTAGGAACAGGAAAAGGCTATGACCACCTGGCTGAGTAGAGTAGAGGGAAAAGGTTACCCCAGAAGGGGAACTAGCTTTTGCAAACTTCCGAAGCAGGAGAGGGGTAAAGGTGTGGCTGGTGAAAGCAAAGCAGGTTTTCCCAGATTAGCAAACCAGTTAGGGAGGGGTGGGGTTGAAGTAAATAATTTTGACTATGTGTAGTTCAGTGGAGTTGAGAAAATAATGTGAGAAATAGATAGAAAGGTCTTGGGTCTGAAGAATCTGTCATCAATGAATTTAACCCTTCTAGCATTTTCCTTCCTAAGTTGGGCAGGTAGTGGTGCCTACCAGCTCCTCTTCTCTTCTGCTTTTTGCCTCTTGTTCTTGTGCCCAAGTATTTGCTCCCACGGAACACAGAAGCAACCACCTGCGTGGAAAAGACAGCAGGTGCCAGGGTCATTACAGGACTTGTGCCTCCTCCAGGGCTAACCCATTAAATCAACCAAAAGCCTGTTGCTCATCCCTCCCCCAACACAAGAAGAACACCTGGGTCTGAGGGGGAAGGTGGCAGTGGTGACATCATTGTCAGACTGCCAGTGCCATTATATCAGGTGAGTGTTTTCATCATGAAAGCTGAGTCAAAGGGTGATGAGGGGAGTAGGGTGAGTCATGTTTAACAATAATGAAAACAGAGCAGCTGGGGCGAGCCTATTTCCTTGAGATGTTCATCTTATAAAAGCCAGCTGGGCATCCCATTCACAACAGACACAAGTGACTCTGCAGATCCAGTCTTCTCCAGGAACCAGGTGCGTCTCTGATTGCTAATGGTTTGGAATTCTTGATTATTCTTTTACAATTGGAACTTGGATAAGGTGAATGTGCATTAGAAGGTTGACACAGGGTATTGACTAAGGGTAGAGAATACTAGAATAGCTTTTTTAAAAGCAGAGTCCATGGCCTGAAGAGTATTTAGACACAGTTAAGTTGGCCACTTGGTAGACAGTCATGGAAATGGGGATCTAGGAAGAAGAGAGGTCCCTTCAAATGCTCATAATTCCTAGCTGACAAGGCAAGTTCAGGTCTACAGTACTGTTAGTGAGACTTCATTCTTTCTGGCATGACTCTATGGAAATGTTAATTCATTAGGGGGAGCTCTACTAGGTGTTCACTGTGTGCATTTACGTCGGTGTGCGAGGCACTTTAGATAATTCAAGCCAACATGGAGGTCACCAAACTTAGCACCTAGCAGGGAAGATAATGCATGTCTGTAAGTGGATGAGAGGTAACTAGCAGTGAGGAGAGGTCAGGGAAGGGCTGGGCTGCTGCGGGAGAGTGCTCAAGCAGAGCAGCTTAGTGGTGGTGTGTTACACCAGCTACAGTGGAGCAGTGCTTGCCAAGCAGAATGGGAAAGAAAACATTTTAGAGGAGACTGGGTGAGCAGAGAGCAGGGGCTTGGACTACTGGAGAGCCATCCTATAAATGACGGAGCATCTTATGTGGAGCCACGAGTGGATGGATTGCAGCCATTTCTGTGATGTCTCTGTCCAAAAGACCTGGTGTGTAACTTTGCATGCCCAACAGAAGGCAGCATTTTGGGGTTATTTCTCAGTGAGGAATAGAACATGTCAGGGAAAAAAAGTGAGCAAAGCAAAGTCACTTTCTGAATTGGGGCAGAACAATATGATTTCCAGCTCCTTCTCTTGAAAAGGCCCAGGAATTACCACAGCATATTTTACTTCAAACATAGAGCATTAGTAAGAGCGGAGAGAGGTTCTCCCTTCTCGGCCTGTAATGAAGTCTGTTTAACATTAAACTTGGTTTCTTTTCTGTTTCTTTAAATCACTCAGTCAGTTTATTTGCCATTAGGCCTAACCTCTGTGGAAGCATGAGTTCCCACCAGCAGAAGCAGCCCTGTGCCGCACCACCTCAGGTTCACCAGCACCAGACGAAGCAGCCTTGCCAGCCTCCACCCCAGGAGCCATGTGCCCCCAAAACCAAGGAGCCCTGCCACACCAAAGCACCTGAGCCCTGCCAACCCAATGCTCCTGAGCCCTGCCACCCCAAGGCACCTGAGCCTTGCCACCCCAAGGCGCCTGAGCCCTGCCACCCAAAGGCACCTGAGCCTTGCCACCCTAAGGCGCCTGAGCCTTGCCACCCTAAGGCGCCTGAGCCTTGCCACCCTAAGGTGCCTGAGCCTTGCCCATCAACAGTCACTCCAGCACCAGCTCAGCAGAAGACCAAGCTGAAGTAAAGTGATCTGCTGCCAGGCCTTTGAGGAGGTGGCCACCCGGATCCTGAACCCCCTTTCCCATTCTGCTTCTGTGTCCCTTGTCTGTTGCCCTGGCAACTAGCATGATGTTACTGTCTATACTGTCTAAAAATATCCCTGGCACTCACTCTGGAGGATTCCTGAGCCTCTGACATCGCTGGGAGTCTCACTGGTGAGTTAGTCTTCCAGTGGCTCAGAGCTGATCTGAAGAGGGATTGTGGGAGGAACAGGGTGACTCTTCCCTGTTCTGCCTCATTAAATCAGTTTAAATGCCACACTTGATTGTGTGTGTGTGTGTGTGTCACTGGCTGATCCAACTTTCACTGCTTTCACAGCTAGAGCAAGAAGGAGCACACTAAAGACTGATCATGAGGGCTGTAGTCCCAAGGTGTCTGATCCTAGCAGTGAGACCATGAGTGCACGTGTGTGTGTGTGTGTGTGTGTGTGTGTGTGCATGTGCATCTGTTGTACACAAAGGACACTCCTATTCTAGCATTGACAGTGTGTCCAAGATCAATCTGTAACCTTATACAGCCATAACTAGAGTAGGGCTTTATTTCACCTACGTGAGCCACTCTAGAGAATAAAGCATTCCTGCTTCATGCTGCCTCTGACACAAAATCGTTGCCCTCAGATCATCTTTATTCTGTTTAGTTGATTCCTTTTTAATTTTTTTTCAGAATGGGGGATTGAACTCAGGCCCTTGTGCTTGCCAGGCAAATGCTTATTCTACTGAGCTATCTCCCTAGCCCTTCCTTTTAAAAATTACCCAAGAGAAATAGTGTATGTCCATATTTCAACTTGACTGTTCCTTTTGTTGTTCTCCTTCTCCTTCTTTTCCTCCTCCTCCTCCTCCTCTTTTCTTCTCCTCCTCCTCCTCTCTTCTTCTTCTTCTTCTTCTTCTTCTTCTTCTTCTTCTTCTTCTTCTTCTTCTTCTTCTTCTTCTTCTTCTTCTTCTTCTTCTTTTCGCCTCCTCCTCCTCTTCCTCCTCCTCCTTCTTCTTTTTGATGTCCTCCACACATGAAGCCAAACACAGCATGTATCTACTCACACACAGGGTAACTTCTGTACACAGATACTGATTATCCACTCCCATCTCCACACTGTTAGAGCCCCTAAATGACACAATTCACATTCTGACCTATTTCCCTTGTTTGGCCTTCTTTTCTTTTGGCCCACTGTGAAGATGCTTGATTCCATAGTGGCAAGGAGCATGGAATCTACACTACCTGCCCTCGAGGAACCTCCACAGTTGACCTTCATCACCTTCCTATACAAACAGACACTTACAATAGTACACAAAGCCTTCTCTTTGACCCACCCCTCCACACACATGCATGGTACAGTTCTGAGTAATACCCACAAGTGAATGCATCAAAGAAAAAAGAAGAAAAAAAGGCCGAACTGTTCTGGTAGATTTCCTAAGGAAAAGGTATTAATGTAGGTAAGCAAAAAGCCAGCATAAATGGAGAGAGGTTTAATACTGAAGGGCGAACAGGACTGCTAGGACTATTGCTGCCCAGAAAAGTGATCTAGGATAGCTTGCAGACCCAGTGTCTCCTCTTCCCAGCAGGATTTCCTCCTGGCCATGGCTGAACTGATCCAAAAGAAGCTGCAGGGAAAAGTGGAGAAATATCACCAACCTCAGAAGGGCTTGAGGAAATCCATGTTGGGAGGCAGAAGCCTGAGGCACAGCTAAGATAATACAATCTTTTTCTTTTTTGTTAGGTGTCACAAAATTTTTATTTAGGAAAAATATTTCCTTTGATGTTTATTATTTATTAGATCATGAATCTTATTTTACTTTTCTGTGTAGACCAATTAAAAAGTAGGTATCTTCATAATCAAACTGTATTTCACTTTGCATGGCAGGTAAGAAATTAATACCTCTTTCTACCATAAAAGTTTAGACTTTCCTCATAAATTATTCCTGTATGGATTTTTTGTGCTGTTGCTAAAAACAGAGTTAGTAAAGGGCATGGACACATGGGAAACAAACCATAAGCTATAATACTAGTTAATAATGAAATATATTAAACATTGTTTAAATATTAAACAGCAAAATGCTCCTACTATATTAAATAAATAAGATGAATTTGTCATTTGGGATTAGACCAATACCACCAATAATGAGGATGGTCTGTGCAAAAGGTGGTCTCATACATATACAAAACAGAAGGAGAAAGAGGAAACAATTACTTAATATTGGTAATTGCTTTCAGTATAAAATGTGATTCTCACTCCTTTCTAAAATTATCCAGAGAACTTTTGAAAAATACTGCTTAGTCTTATTCTAGACAATTTAAATGAAAAGCAAGATTCAGTCAGATATTTTTCAAAACTCCCCAAATGAGTCTGTATGTAGTCAGGGTTAAGAACTACTGATTGAAACCCACAAGCTTCTTCTGTTATTTGACTCGTAAGAATCCAAGGAGTAAAGAAATAAAACCTTTTTTAAAGGTAAAGCAAACAAAGGGGTCACATTATAAACTCAACTTACCTATAAATTCCTCTTAACTGAAGACCCCTTTGTTTGACAATACAATATTTTGAAGTAGGAACTGACACTGCTGGATGGATCCAGTGTGGGTCTTCACACTTCTGGGTCCTTTGCTAGTCAAACAGGAGCTGGAGGAGGTTCAGGTTACAGTGGAGGAGATGCTGGACTATTTCATAACTGAAATAAAGCAACATGGACCCCAGATCTAGGACCCTGAGTGCCAGTTGGAGCAGCAGAGGGAGTCCTTTGGTCAGCTACAACAGGAGCTCTGGCAGGCCTAGATTGAAGGTGCAAGATGGGGGTAGGTGGACTGAGGCAGCTCTAGGGTCTATATTGGTGTAGGTAATAAAATGTAAATTCACTTATCCAAGAAACAAAAAGTGAGAGAAAGCAGGCCATTACAATATAAATTTTGATGTAAAGGAGATTTAATAATCACCCAGCCCAATCTATTCATCCTTCGGATAAATAGATAAGGATCTAGAAAGGGGAAGATAATTACTTGAAGTCACTTAGAAGTCATGTTCATGAGTCAGGCTCAGCTTCTGGCTTTCCCACTGCAGGTTTGTCTCCCTGATTTCCATGTTGAACAGCAGGTTCCAAAGGCTTTGTTACTGTGTCTGATATGGGAGGGAATGGCTAGCAGAGGACGGGAGGCCAACCAGGGCTATCAGAACAGCTGCAGTAACATCTGGGGAATGACCAGCACTTCTTGATGAGATGAGTGATTTTGGACAAAGGTTTGTGAGGTGGGAGAGAGCGAGTAACTCTGGTCACGTGGTGCTCCAAGCATGGTTGGAAAGCGCTCAGGTATTTGGAAAATAAGAGACAAAAACTGTCCAGCAAGGTTTTCCAGTTGACAAGTAGCTGTCAGCCCAGCAGGAGAGAATGACCTCACTTGGGTGTGCAGGTAGGCATGTGTTGAAGTGACTTACTTTGCAGCTCACTCACATGATGGAAAATGTCACCAACATCTCCAGGAGCAATCACTATTACAGGGGTGGGCCCTGGGTGGGGCCTCTGACTAGTGATACATAGAGCTCCTCAGGGTTTCAAGTCAAGGGGCCACCTAGAAGGGGAGTTGGGCAAAAGGAATCCAAAACCCTTAAACATCTGCACATCTGGATTCTCCTCTGACATAGTCATTCCTATATGCAATTGTTTATTTATTAGGGCAATCATTTCAATGTTATAGAAACATATATACATATTTCTCTACAGAGAAAACTAGTTGAGTAAGACATTGTGTAGGGCTTGGGAGATAGCTCTGTGGGCTAAGTGCCTGCCTGGCAGGCTCAGGGACCTGGGTTCAACCCCAGTACTGCATGTCTTGTTGGCCCCAGAACCCTGGGTGCACCTTGCTGGCCCAAACCCAAGCATGGTGGTGTACACCTGTAATCCCAGAGCTGGGGAGGCTGAGACTGGAGGATCCCTAGGAGGATCTGAGCTGGAGGATCTGAGCTGCATAGCAAGACCCTGTATCAAAAATAAAATAAGATAAGATAAAATACTGTGTCTATAAACACTGGAATACAGTGTGAAGAATAATACTTTATCATATGGAAAAATGCTTAGACAACATTAAAATTATGTAAAGTACTATGGTATGTAACACGTAGTCACAATTTTGTAAAAAAAAAAGATTAAAAAGGTCTGGCAATAAGCACAACTGTTGAACAAAAGGTGTTTATTTTATTTTTTTTAATATCTCTGTATTTTAAATATATTCTATCCCAGTTGAAATACCATTCATTAAAATATTGCTTTCAATACTAAAACCATTAAGACGTGCAAGTTGATGAGCTAGAAGAACATGTCTACCCAGAAACTTCGAGGAGCCCTGTAGGAGTTTCCTCAACAGAGCGCAAAGGCATAGGGGTGGAGAGTCCAGGACTTCAGCCGGTGTCAGAAAGTCTCCAGCGCAGCTGTAAATCTTTCGGTGGGCAGCCCCGACCGCAGGGGATCTACCTCCCTCACAGAGACTCCAGGTTCAGCTGCTGCCTTTGGCACTGCAAGCTCAAGGCTGGAGGAGGGCACGCTAGCAGGAGTGGGTTCTACCCCAGCCCCTTCTTGGATGCCTCGCTAGCTGTGCAGTAGGCCGAATGTCCTTCATCCAGCCGACAGTAGAGGGCACCGCTCCTCTTCCGCGGGGCACTTGGAGGTGCAAACTGCTCTCGCGAAGGTGAACTGCAGTTTGCCACGCTATTGTGCATCCCACCTCGTGCAGACTTGATTTCCTTTCCTACATAAAATTTTGTTCATCACCTTCACATTCTCATTTTTTTCTGCCCTAGCAGGACCATGAGTCTGTATGTTTGTGTAAAGAAAAGACAGTGCTACCTGCTCTAGACAGAAGCTGGCGAATGAAAGCTTCCCCTTGTGCTGTTCCTCCCTGCGCACCTCGGCCAGCCACCCTAGACTGGTCCTCCTTCTTAGACTGGTCCTCAGTCTCCCTCCTTGACTTGGTGCTCTGCTTTGTCTCTCTTACTTTTTTTCTATTGTCCTTTTTTCTGATCTATGTCCAGTATCCACCCAGCTTGCGCATACTGCACACTTCCCCAGCACTCAGGAGCCAGTCTAGGCTTTGGGACCCCCTGGGAGCCTGGCATGCTAACAGGCATAGCGCTCAGGGGTGCTCTAGCGGTGCCCAGCTGCCCCGCAGCTCCCCTCCTATGTGCGCATCCTCAATTCATGTCTGACTCCTCCCGATCGGAAGCCAAGGGGAGGCAGGCAGGATCCTTTCCAGGGTTTCTGTGTACCCAGAGCCCAGCCAGCTG